AGGAGGGATTGGGAGAGAGTGAAGGAATGGAAGATACTGTATGAAAAGAATTTATTAATCTCTATGTATCACCTCCATAATAATATTAAATTACATTAATAATAAAACAATATTTTTAGCATAAACGATTTGCTTGGTGATGAAATTCTACCACAGTTAGAAGAAGAGTTACAATTTTTAGAAATCTAATACAGCACTCAATTTGCAAGATAAACTATTTTAGTTTAGGTTGAATATTAACTCTACATAAACCAGTAACAATAATCCTTTCATTGTAGTATCCAATTAAGTGTTAATGTTAAATGTTGAGATAATAAAAAAAAATAAAACAAGCACTTCTGGCTCAAGACTGTCATTTTACCCTAACTATTAAGGAGGAAACTGAGGTCTGGAAGCCAGCCTAGATAGACAACTCAAATTAAGCAGCTAATGAACAGGTTAGAGGTAAGGCTCAAGTGATAGTGCCAACAGTGAGTGAGGAAGCTGACTGACTGTGAGACCCGGAGTTCAAGCTCCAATAGTAGCTCTAGAAACCTATGGTGGAGTCTGAAGTATGTGTATTACATGTGTTTCTAAATTAGAAACCTAATTGCTGTGAAAACCGGCAAGTCTTCATCTCAGACATAAAGAGAAAAGAAAATGAGTGGAGCAGGGAGAGAAGGGAAGCCAAAGGTCAGGGAAAAGATGGAAGAAGAGGAGACAAGAGAGTAGTGGAGAGAAGGGAAAAAGAGGGAAGGGAAAGGAGGAGGAGAAGACAAGACAGGAAGAAAGCCTTATGGCATTAGATTTGACAGTAAATCTTAAACAAGACACCAAAAGTGACTCATGCAACAAAGAGACAAACAAACAAATGCCAGGCTCTGGTGGCTCACACATGTAATCCTAACTACTCAGGTGGGTGAGATCTGAGGATCATGGTTCAAAGCCAGCCTGGGCAGGAAAACCTGTGAAATCTTATCTCCAATGAAGCACCAGAAAGCCAGAAGTGGTGCAGTGGCCCAAGTGGTAGAGTGCTAGGCTTGAACTGATGGGCTGAGGCACAAGCTCAGACCCATATTTCAAGCCCCATGACCCATAATAAATAAATTAATGAATAAGGATTGGGAAGGTGGCTCAGTGGTAGAATGTTCGCCTCAAATGCATGAGGCCATGGGTTCCATTACTCAGCACCACATAAGCAGAAAAAGCCAGAAGAGGGTGCTGTGGCTTAAGTGGTAGAGTGCTAGCCTTGAGCTGAATAGCTGAGGGATAGCACCCAGGCCCAGAATTCAGGCCCCAGAACTGACCAAAAAAAAACAAAACAAAACAAAGCCGAGAATATAAATCATAAGTAAAAATTAAAAATAAATACAAAACCAAACAAAAACAAACAAACAAGATTAAGTGCACATAATCAAAATCTTGTATAATGAAAAGAACTATCAACAAAGAAGCAAAAGCATGGTAGGAGAAAATATTTGCATATGTCTTTAAATAGATTCCTAACAAATCTGAATTAGAAAATATAAAGAAAATCCTACAAGTAACCCCCACACAACAAAATCTAATTTTAAAATAGGAAAAAGATTGAAGAGACTTTTCTAAAATGGACATACACAAATAGCTGATTAAAATATAAAAGTAATATCAATGGTCATGTGAATAATTCAAATCAAAATTACAATAAAATAACTATTTTATACATGTTAGTATGGCCGTAGTTTTAAACAAAACACCAAAAATCCTTCCAAATTCCAACAAAAGCTAGGAAAGTTGTGATAACAATGTGAACCTTGGTACATTTCTCTCAGGTATGTAAAAGTATCAAAGATGGCATAAAGAGTCCTAAAAAGAACTTAAAATAGAATTACATTGAAATATGGTCCAGCACTTCTACACTTGTACATACCTTAGAGAAAAACAGAGATTTCCATAAATACCATCAAAAATACAGCCTAAGTTTCAAGAAATACAAATACCACAAAGCAGTCCAAGAGTATTTACAGAGACAATTGAAGTACTTATAACATACTCAGGTCTATATAGCAATCAAAGTTATGTTTGAACACACTATTTCAGCAAATCCAGTAAAACTTCATTAGGATAGTCTAATGTTGTATATGAGGATGTGATGTCGGACCTGTTTCTAGTCAACCTTTACCTTCCATGAGAAGTTACCTACTAGGTGCCACATACCAAGTGGAACGACTTTGTCCTAACATTAAAAAATGAGAAACAAACTAAAGCAAATCTGCACTTAACTTAGAAGGCAAGTTTTGATAATCTGCTAAATCTCCAAGCCATCTTTAGCTTTTTTAGAAACATGTTCCTGAAGCTGAATCTTTTTTTTCTGTTCTTCAATCTTGGATACCCTTAAGTTCATAAAATGGAATGTCAAACAGAGTGAGAAATAAAAGAATCTCATCAGAGATCCTTCCATTCTTTCTTGCTGTTGACAATCAATAAATATTCTGGAACCATGGCTAGGAGAGAAGACAAATGAGAAAGTCAGAAAAGAACCTGTGTGATTTTACCCTAGAAGTTCCTGGTCAGAACATGGTAGGTGGGTTGGCAAAGCATAAAGCCTTCTTTTGGGAGAAGAAACATTCCTGAATCAAGTAGAACATTAAAGTATCCAGTAATGACAAATCCACAGAAGACTAAAGCCTTATGTGTTACTAAACACTATTAATAGAAAATAGACCCCAAAATGTAGATCCATAAAATGTAAAAAAAACAACTTATATAGGTATGTGCTTTTGCTTATACTTGTTGGTTGATGACACAGGAAATTCTATTATCCAGCGTTCAGATTTTCTTTTCCCATTTACCCACAATGGTAATTGTTAATATAAAATACATGAACTTTGCAATGACATTTACAAAAAGCGAAAATTTATTCTGTTTACTTCAGTGAGGTTGTTTTTGATAGGAAACACAATATGAATCTTTTAAAAGCAGTGTTTGCACATTAGTACTGGGTTTTTCTACATCATAAGAATATTTTCTTTCTTTGAAAAATTAAAGAGGAGCTGGGAAGGTGGCTCAGTGGTAAAGCGCTTGTCTTGAATGCCTGAGGCCCTGGGTTGGATACCTCAGCACCACATAAGCAAAAAGCAAAAGCCGAAGTGATACTGTGTCTCAAGTAGTAGAGGGCTAGCCTTGAGCTGAAGAACTGAGGGACAATACCCAGGCCCAGAGTTCAGGCCCCACGACTAGACCCAAAAAAAGGAGAGAAAATTTATTATAGCCTAAGTGTTCACATTCACAATACTTAAGATGAGGAGTGGTACAAATTTCAAAGTGGGATATTTCCTGTGTGTTTTGGGAATTGGACTGTCCTCATCCACATTAGTGACTGAACAATCTGCCTTAAAATTGTCAAGTTTTCTATTTCATCTTATTTTATTAGAATATAATCTGAATTTAAAAGAGGACATTGTAACTGGGCTCTCATGTCTAATGGCTGTAATCTTAGCTTCTCAGAAGGCTGAGATCTGAGGAAAGTTAATATTATCCCCACCTTTGCTCCTCAGCTCCACCAAGACTTGAGCTCATCCCAGAACTAGAGTTCCCTCCATACTGCTGACCACTCCCTCCCTCTACCCACACCTACCTGAGCATGCACCTACCTAACTTCCTGCCCCCAGCTCCTGTTGCTACCTGAAGACAGACACATGCATGTGCTCCCTCTCCTGGGAAACACGGTCCTTCTAGTAAACCTTATAATAATCTTTCTCCTGTGCCTGCTTGTGGTCCCCTGGGATGCATATGATGGATACCTACAAGGATCACAAAATGAAGCCATTGGTAAAAGAATGTCTGAGACTTATCTCCAATAAAATAGCCAAAGTAGCTGGAAGGGGAGGTGTGGCTTAAGTGGTGCAACATTATCATTGAACCAAATAATTTCATGGTCATTTTCTAGACCTTGAGTTCAAGTATCAGGACAAACACATACATATCAAGGTCATTGTATTGTATTCAAATTATATTTTAACAATTAAATTGGAATACATAGATAGGAAGTCTCTCTCTCTCTCTCTCTCTCTCTCTCTCTCTCTCTCCTTTTTTGTTTGTTGTGTGGCCTGAACTCTGAGCCTGAAAACTGTTCTTCAGCTCCTAAACTCAAAGCTAGCACTCTACTACTTGAGCCACAGTGCACTGCCAGCTTTTCCTGCTTATGTGGTTCTGAGGAATCAAACTCAGGGTCTCATTCATGCAAAGCAGGCACTCTACCACTGAACCACCTGCCCAGCCAGTCTCTCTCATTTTAAGTGATGTAAAATAGACTAATTATGTTAATGGAGAAATTGTAATTTGTCAAGAACAGACACAATAATTGGAGTATATCTGTGCCAGGCGCATTTTGAAAGTTTCAAACACCATAGGAAGTGCAGAGGGTGAAAAGAAGATCACTATATTTATATAAGACATATTCAAGGAATGTTTACCATTCATTGGCTTCAAATCGCAAACACCAAGTTTATAACGCCACATGGGTGAGTACCAGAATCTCTAGGTTCAGTCTCTAGACTCTCCTTGTCTAGAGAACCAGAGTATTCTCAGCCAGTATCTTGCACCTGCAGGAACAAGTGCTAATGGCAGCACAATTCCATTAGGCCATAAAATATCATCAACCTCAGACTGGGGAAAGATGGTAAGGGCAGAATTTGGATGGCGACTCATATTGCTTCAATTTACAGCTCCCAAGTTCCTCTGAAGAAGAGACACTGGGCTTCTTCCTTTTGGCTCTGACTATGGAATGCAAAACTGTACTTCAGAGCACTTCCAGCAGCAAGGCAAAAGGAAAGAAACTTGAATTTACAAACTAAAAACACCAACAATAGCCAAGTAGTTTCAAGCGCCTTACCCCAGCCGCCCTCCACACTTTCAAAGGATCTGTGCCTCAATAGAAACTACAATTCCCATAACACGATGCACAATTCACCTAGAGGAAGTGGGCTTGTTACAGGGTTTGGACTGGCACCAGACACTTGGTCCTAAGTGTGCATGGATGCATGGGGACCTTTCTCTCCCAACTGCGGGAAACTAAGGTAAGTTTCCTCTTGAAAAATCCGTTTACCTCCTGAAACATTGTGAGATCAACCAAAACAAAGAATTGTATTAGGAGCATTAGATAATTTGGCTTTTTAATTCTTAGTTTTATTAATGTAATTGATGTTATGAGACTCTATGGTTATTGACTTTGTTTTTATTCAAAGTGTATGTTCATCTGAACATAAATTATGTCACTGTTTTGCCTTAAAAATTTGAATATCTCTCCTCTCAGTTTAAAAAGTTATTTGCAGCTGGTTGCCAGTGGCTCATGCCTGTAATCCTAGGTACTCTGGCGGCTGAGATCTGAGGATACTGGTCTAAAGCCAGCTCCAGCAGGAGAGTTCCTGTGTTTTATCTGCAATTAACCACCAGAAAAATGGAAGTGACCTTGTGGCTCAAGTTGTGGAGAGCTCACCTGGAGGGGAAGAGCTCAGGGATAGTGCTCAGGTCCAGAGTTCAAACCACAGGATCAGGTATTTACAGACATTTAGTCCATCGATTCTGGGAGTGTTTCCTTTTAGCTTCTGTGCCTGGAGCCTTACCTGTAGGAGTTTGGTAGACAAAGGTTGAAGTAGAATGAGGAAGGATGCATAGGATCTGCAGTTGTTGCCACATTGAGTCCTAGAACAATGTGATGCAAACACTGGACAGGTATAGAGTGTCTATAGCTAAGGTTGTTGCTGAAGTAAAGAGAGATTCATCATTGGCCTTGTCTCTGTCTCTTCCATTATCATACCCTTGTTCTTCTGGAGTGCTGCTGGTGTTGTGGCTGGCCCCCGCAGTGGTAGTATGCTTACCTAGCATGCATGAAGCCCTGGTTCAAGTCCTCAGTACCACATACAGAGAAAAAGCAGAATGTGGAAATGTGGCTCATGTATTAAGGTGCTAGTCTTGAGCAAAAGAAGTTCAGTGACAGTGTCCATGCACTGAGTTCAAGCCCCAGGGTTGGGACATAAAACACAAGAAATGTAAGCTGAGTGATTGTCCCTCATGTCTGTAATCCTTGCTTTTCAATAGGCTGAAACTGAGGATCTTGGTTCAAAGTCAGACTGGCCAGTAACATGTGTGAGACACTTATCTCCAATGACCACTAAAAAATCCAGAAGTGTGTTGTGGCTCACATGGTAGAGCACTTGAGCTCAGTGATGGTTCCCAGGCTCAGAGTACAAGTGCCATGACTGAACAACAAACAAAAAAAGGATAAAAGTGTAAATAAATGCATCAGAAATACAGGCTTGAAAAATGAAAACTACACTTCACAGGTAGTCTTGGAAGCACTCCAGTTTTTCCTGATCCTTTTCTCCTTGCCTCTTAGGAATTTACTTTTACAGAATGAAATGAGGTTATCTTTATATTATTAGAGGTGCTTTTAACTTGAAGTCTATAATCCAAATATGCCCTTTGATTCCCATTTTCATGAGGAATAGTTCAGCTCCACAAAACGGACATGTAAAACCCATACACTGGAGAAATAAAATCAGGTAAGAAAGTTTCCAATCCAATCCATCCCAATTATGTTATATGTAAAGGATCACCAAAAATCACAATAAACTATAGGAGATAAGTGTAGGATCTCTGATTATGAGAGAGAGAGAGAGAGAAACATAGAGAGAGAGAGAGAGAGACTGTTGCAGACACTGGGGTGCCTGCAGGAGCAGGCAAAATGTGAGCAAAGGCTTCAGGGCCATTGACTCCCACCCTCAGGACTGCAAGTCCTTGCCCTTTATGGTTTGAGGAAGTGTGTGTTCTAGCTGATTGGCCTGGGGCTTTAAGTGAAGGGAGGCTTTGGTGGAAAACATAGATTGAAATAGAATGAGGAAAGAAATGTGCTGTTTGCCCTTTTTGGCAGAGTGGGCTTAAACCAATATCACACAAGCATTTGAGAGACATAGCAGAATTGTGCCATTGGCCCTCTCTCTGTCTCCTTAATTATCATCCCATTGCCCCACAGAAGTCTTGCTTGTGCTCTGATGAGACTGCAGCAGGAGACAAAAGATTTATTCCATAGCTTAACGGATAAGGTCTGAGAAGACAAATCTGAGGTCCCCTAGATATGTAGCCTAAAGCTACTGAGAGGAACTTTTAGTTGCAGAGAGGAGGTAAGAATATTAAAGAGATTTTCACATGCAAAAATGAAAAGACAAAATCAGACTGGTTTGCAAGTAGTTAAGCTTCACATCAACATAGACCTACCCTAAACTTCACTCTTCTACACACCTGCATTCATTCTGACCCCCAAATCACTCTCTTTGTAGGGAAATCAGGGTAATGTGCTATGTACTGAAGAATCGCTGTGAGGAAACTTTTCACTACTTACCTGAAGAAATTATTAAAGGACATGCAAATAGAGCACAGCAAATGCTCACAGATAGTGCACAAGCTCTGAGTTTAAGCCACAGGACCAATAGCAAAAACAACAATCATAACACCCTTAAATAAAAAGCAAACTTCAGAAACAACCTAAAACTCCTTTTGATTTAATAGATAGAATTGGGGATTTTCTGGAAAATTAATTGTTAGATATTTGGGAAATACAAATCAATAAGACGATTAATGCTGCATATCCACATAACCATCTTCCTATTCTATGTCCTTTTGTACATTACAGCAATGGGAAATGACCCGGTATAAGTTCAGTGTCTGTGAGTACCTTTGTAACATGAGAGGGGAGGTATTAAACAATTTAAGGCAAAACAGAGATATAATTTACATTCAGCAGAACACAGGAATGGAACAAAAAGAAATGTATGAGCAACACAGTCACATAAACTCAATTTCATTATTAGAACTAAGAACCAAACAGTCAATGCATTCAGTTCTCCACATATATTTACATTTTGTGGCTTGTTTCAGGAAAGAAATAGTGTTTTTCAAGTAAAATTCAGCTTAGTTCCCACAGCAGGGAGAGAAAAGTCCTACTGCATCCAAGCACTCTTGTGATCAGGGTGGTGCCGAGCATTGTGGGAATTGTAGTCTCCAAGAAGGACATTTTCTTTGAAAGTCCTGGGTTGTTTTTGTTCTTTTTGGAGGGCGGGGGTGGGGCAGAAGATCCTTTTGCGCATGCATCTCCCCACCCACCACGGGCATTTTAAGTCAGCCTCTTCTGGGTTCTTTCCCTTTGCCTTGCTGCTGGAAGTGACCTGAAGTAAAGTTTGGACTTCCATAGGTGGGAGCCAGGAGGCCGGCGCCCAGCTCTGTGCATTGGGGCTTAGGAGCTGTAACTTGAAGGAATCTCAGGCTTTGGAACTGATGTCAGGTAGGAACTGTCTCCCCTCCACAGGTTTCTGTTTCTTTTTCTGCTTCTGTTTGGTGGGGCCTGAACTCTGGGCCTGCAAGCACCATTCCTGAGCTCATCAGCTGAAAGGGAGAGCATTACACTTCAGTTAAAGCTCTTACTGCCTCCTCCACACTTTTCTGCAGTCTGGAGCTGATAATTTGCTTGAGGTTCAGGAGTCTGTGCTGTCATTAGGCTCTGGGCCCTGAGGTGCAAGAACCTGGTTCCCAAATATCTGAGAGCAAGCTGGGTGATTCTGCAGATGAGGAGAGCCCAAGAGCCATGCATTTGTACTCCAAGACTAAGGGATTCTTCTATTAACCCATATGACTTTATTTGCTTTGTCCAGGTGTAAGAGGAGTACAGGAAGAATTCTAGTGAAATTGTGACGTGTGTGTCTGTCTTGAGTCCTCTTACATTGAAGTTGTATTTGGGGCTTTGTGTTTTTTCTCCTAGAGATATTTTAATCTGTTTGGCTTTAGTTTTTAATCTCCTGGCTTGAGTTCACACGTGTTTGTATTCCACCGTGTTTCTAGAGACATTTGTACATATGATATTGGAGTTGTGAGTGCTGGGCTTGTACTTTTAGGAATGAAGCCTAGCAATGTTTGAAGCAGAGCACCCTATGAATAGGAATCTCCATCCTAAATGGACAGACCTTTTCAATTCTGAGAAGCACTAAAGGGAAGAAGCAGAAAATCACAGAAAAGGGAAGAGGTTGCTAGCTTCCTTTGCCTTATACAAAAATTGTTGCTACTTCCCTGAGCACCAGATTCACGTGGTACTCTTTCCTACACCACTCTCAGTCACTTTGTGTTTTTGCAAGATTTAAACTAATTTCTAGAAGTGGTGATGAGCTGGATTGAGGAATAAGCCATAGCCTACTTATCAAAGGATATCTGAGGCTATAGTTTGGGATGTTGGAGTAATTGTTATGACTGAAAGTATCTATTCATGTAGTAATCCCTAATCCTCTTCTTGCTAATTTATTCAGCCTGTTAACACTTTGATTTTTAGTATGTAATCATGCAAACTTACATTACATGTGCCATCTATGGATTTGCTAATGCTAGCTCTAATCAGTTGGTTGTGCCTGGTAGTACAGAAAGTGTTGGTCTGGGACATGTGGCCTAAAAAGAAAATTCACAGAAGAAAACTTGAGGTAATATGTCTTACTCAAGGTTGTATGCTTTGTAGGTGTTACTTATCTTCAGGTGTGTCACGCCTATATCGATTATTTTATGTTGTATCTTTAGAATGGCCAAGGTTCTTCGTATTACTGTTTAGGGAAATGAAAGTTAGGGACTTCTCTAACCTGGGTTTATCTCATCTTTACTCATGTCCCTTTGGCCAAAGCATGTTAAATGGCAAATTGCTAATCATTGCATATGTGTGCAATGGGTAGAGTGAAATGTGCCATTTGACACCCATTATTGAAATAGTATAACATAAGAAATATTCTATATACATTTTTCTCTCTAACTTTGGGTGAAAATTAGAGTTACATCATACATGCTTCCCATGGTGTTTAAATATGTAAATGAATGAGGTAGAACACAAAATCCAATGGATTCCTAGGATACTTTTGCATTAAAAAAGTAGTTCATGGGCTGGAAAGGTGGCTCAGTGGTAGAGTGCTTTCCTTGCTTGCATGAGGCCCTGGGTTCCATTCCTCAGCACCACATAAGCACAAAACACTGGAAGTGGTACTGTGGCTCAAGTGGTAGAGCACTAACCTTGAGTGCTGAGGGACAGCACCCAGGCCCAGAGTTCAAGCAGCATGACTGGGGGAAAAAAAGAAAAGAAAAAAAAGCAGTTCATACATCCCAAAGTATATTCAGTAATAACTGTTTTATTGGAAATATGATATTTTTTGCTTTAAATTGTTCAATAATTTCAGTGGGAACATTATTTTTTTTAAATTTAGTGTGTATATAAACATAGATATTAATTGGTTTAATAATATCTATCAGGAAATGGACTGGATTTGTGTTTACTGGACACTTTAATGCTCTACCTGAGACATTAAAGATTCTTCGCTTATAAGAAAGCTTTAAGTTTTCACAATAAAAAATAAATTAAAATTTTAAAAAAGAAGGCTTTACGGTTTTCCAGCCCATGTAGCATGTTTGCAAGAGGAAATTCTGGGCCAAAATCTCACAGATTCATTTCTGAATGTGTCATTTCCCTTATATCCCAGCTATGCTTCCAGGATCTTCTGCTCATTGTCAGCAACTCTGGTGAGTTGATTTTTTTATTTTTCATTTGTTTTCCATTCCATTATATGAACCTAAAGATGTCCAAGAATTAAAAACAATACCAACCACACAGATTCATCCTCAGGAACGTATTCATAAATCAGATGAAGAAGGCTTGTAAATTAGCAGATAAAGACTGCTTGTAGGTTTAGCAGATTGAATGGTTATATTCTAAGTTGAATTCATATTGGCTTCAGAATGTCTAGGTTTCATCTTGTCATAAAATGTAGTCACACCTGTTATGTGATGTAATGACACCAAGCAGGTTACTTCTCATGGAAGGTGAAGGATAGATTGCAACCAGATCACATCCTCATGAGTAACATTAAACTATCTCAATGAAATTTTCCTGGAATTGCTGAAATAGTGTGGTCATACACACCTTCGTGTGTTCTTAAGGAATGATTAACCTATATGTACTTAAATTACTCTCCATATATAGTTCTTGGACTGCTTCATGGTCTTGGTCTTACTTGAAACTTCGCCTGTATTTGTTGCTAAACTTTATGGTCTTTCTACAAATTCCTGTTTGTTTTGTAAAGTATTCTCACAAGATTTCTTTCCTCTATTTTCTCTCTCTATTTTTGATTTTCTACTCATTAGTGTTGGTTATTTTTCTCTTTCTCTCTCTTTGTATCTATCTTTCTATCATTTTTTTCTTTTTTCATTCCCTCTTTCCTTCATATGTGTCTCAGTTGTTTCTTTTCTTCAAATGACCTATCTGGAACAAGATATTCTTAGTGATCAGTTTTACATTGCTGATATGGCTCTTAGGATTGACATTTTTCTTACCCGTAGTATAGGAAAATTGTTGCCTAGAGAGTTCTACAGGATTCCAGAAACAAAGACAATTAGAGAAACACAAAAACATAAACAGATAGACCTAGGGGAAACCAGGGTTCTGAAGACTCTATGGCACTTGGTCCCTGGGTGTCAGCAAGCTAGTATAGTTCCTTGAGTGCACACAGGGAAGATTACCATTGATAACATGCAAAAATGAAGTATCTACATTAATAGTACAATCAGAGCCACAACAGGTTGTGAGGAAAACATGTTTCCTTATTCTCCTGAGACAGAAGACTGTTGCCCAGAGAAAATGCAGACATGGAGTTTACCTTACCTAGCCTTCAAGTTCAACAGCACCTCAATTTCAGATGCTATCATTCCAACAGTAAGGAAAAGGCCTGCACTCCAGTCTCTTTACCCTCTCCAGAATTCTCTTTTAAACCTTCTGCGGCCAGCTCTCAGTTCTCTCAGTGCTGTCAGACTGGAATTCCAACCTCTCAAACCTTTTCCCCTTCAGCTCAACTTCAGAGTTCCCTACAGAAAAGTACTTCCTTCTACGAATTGATACACTGCAGAAAATCTATTTTCTCCTGATTTTGTGTTGATATAACTTCACTTGATGTGGTATTCAGCTTTTTTTTCCTTCCCACTACTTTTGAATATTTTAATTCACTGCCAGTATAGATTGGACCTTGTGTTGAAAAAAAATCATACAGTGACTAGATGTTCTCTATTAGAAATATCACTTGTCGCAAAATCTCACAGATGTTTGCTCACTAATTGATTTTGATCTCTGAGGTATTTCACTATTAACTAACACAAGTGAAAATATATCCTTAGAGATCTACTGGAGAAAGGACTCAGGAATATGTTACGCGTTTGAGCATTTGGTCATATTTATCATTTTTGTCATCTTGAGTGTTCCTTGAGCCTCTCTATATTTGCCTTCACCTTCCATGAAGGCCTATTAAAATGAAAACTTGTCAAGGAACATTTTTCCCCCACCTATATTTTGTATTGTAGATTGTAGGCAAAGTTTACAAAATTTCATGGTAGCAGTTCTTTTTTACATAGGAAGGAAATATCAGGGTATCTATGACCACATTTCAATATTTAGTATTTAAACCATACATGGTAAACCACGGATATTTTTATGTGGGAACTCAATTAAATCTTATAGGGGCCTAATCAATCATTAGTTACTTTCTGGAGTACTGTTACTGTTTTTTGAACATTCATGTGGACACTGCTTTTCATAGATCTAGCAATGTTCTAGAATGTGTGCTGCTTGCTTTTGAGAGTACTTGTTAATAGAAGGTCTAATTAGGATTTATGGTGAAGCAGTATGTGTAAGTGCAGGAAAATATTGGTTTAATTCATTTCACTCTGGTATGTACTGAAATTTTATCAGAAATGATAATATAATTTTTTAGACACCTCCTTAGATGTAATGTTATCAGGCCAGATTATTGTCTCCTCAGAGTTTTTATCTTGTCTCTATTGGTAGCAGCAATAATGTGATTGCATGCATTATGGAAACTGTAATTTTTTATTGGTCTTTGGGCTTGAATTCTGGGTCTGGTTGTTTTCCCTCAGCACTTCAGGTCAAGGTGAGTGCTACCACTTGAGTGACAGTGCTACTTATATTTTCTGGTGGTTTATTGGAGATAAATGTCTCATGGACTTTCCTGCCTGGGCTGGCCTTGAGTCTTGATCGTCACACCTCAGCCTCCTAAATAGCTATGATTACAGGCATAAGCCCCCAGCGCCCTGCAAATCTGTGTATTTTAATGACCAGGTTTATGTATTGCCAAATATTTCTAGTTTGGTATTTAATTCTCCTTGTGAATAGATAACAAAGCTAGCTCCAAACATTTTATGTAAGACAAAAGCATACCTGCAGCATAATGAAATTCCAGATTGGAATTCTCATAACCCAGGTCTAAATTTTTGATGGAAATTTGCCATTACAGAAACTGATATCATTTGATGATGTGGCTGTGAACTTCACCTGGAAGGAGTGGCAGGATCTGGATCCTGGTCAAAGGACCCTTCATAGAGATGTAATGCTGGAGACTTATAGCAACCTAATGTCCTTGGGTGAGCAAAGGTTATTTTTACTTGGAAGTTCAAGTACTTTTATTTTAGTAGACATTATACTATTTATGTTATTTAGGGGAAAAATTCCAGTCCATTCCCAGGTAAAAAACTGCTAGTATAAAAGCCAGTCAAATTTGAGTTTGAGAGCTTGGTGTTGTTTGTCTTTCACACTAGTGCTTGAGCCACGATTCTATTTTGGCTTTTGTTTTGGGGTATATTCTGTGTTTCCGTGCCCAGGTTGGTTTCAAGCCTGCCTCTTCTGATCTCATCTCCTAAATGTAGGATTACAGCTGTAAGCCTTTGGACCATTACATTTTCTAAAGAAAAAAAAAAGATTCCAAGCCATGGGAAGTGTCATCTTTTTTCTAAGGAAAACTTCAACTTCATTATATGTAACTCAAGAGCTAATTTTATTCTTGTTCTTTAAGAAGGCAAATCAGTAGTTGGACAAAAGTTCTAAGCTATGATCCACTAATAGGAGACTGACTTCTCAGACTTTGGTAATTACTATAGGTGGATCTACAGTCTAGAATAGAACATACATTACTACTGACAATATGCTGTGGAAATCAGTAGGTGAAAGTGTGTATTTATAAGCCAACCCTGATACAGGGTTTAGTGCTTCAAGCTACGAATCCTAGATACTCCGGAGGCTGACATCTGAAGGTTTCAGTCTGAAACCAGCAGCTGTAGAAAAATGACCATGAGACTCATCTCCAATTAACCATTCAAAAACTATAAATGTAGTGAAGACTCAAACTAGTAGAATGCTAGCTGTTAGCAAAACAGCTGAGTTCAAGCCACACAGTTGGCAAAATAAACCCAAAGCTGGATGCTACTCCACAATGGAGCTGTTAAGAATTGAGAAACCCTGGGCTGGGAAGGTTGTTCAGTGGTAGAGGATTTGCCTTCCATGCATGAGGCCCTGTATTCGATTCCTCAGCACCACGTAAGCAGAAAAAAAAAAGCCGGAATTTGCATTGTGGCTCATGTGGAACAGTGCTAACCTTGAGGTGAAGATCTGCCCAACAGCTCCCAGGCTTAGTTCAGGCCCCACAACTGCACCCTCACCCCGCAAAAAACAATTGAGAAACCAGATTTAGGAGCCACCTTGTGAACAAGATGTCTGCGACCTTACATTAATGATGACCCAGCAAGAACAATAGTTCTCCACTATTTCTTAATCACAGGGCACTGTGTTCCTAAACCTAAATTGATTGTGATGCTGGAGCAAGGTGCAGATCCATGCATAAGAGAAGGCTCAGAGAAGAATTTTACAGGTGAGTTAATGCATCTTGAATGGTGATGATGGGTCCAGAGCCCAGTTGGTATGTTTATCTTGAGCTGTACAGAGCGATAGTATTCCTAGTGCCCCTGAGTAATGGATGGAAGAGAACTAGGTGATCCTTTGTCTCAAGGAATTGTCAATCCAGAATTCACGGGGAGACAAACTGAATTTGGTGTGCCAGTATAGTTAATGTTAGCAATTCTCTTTGTCTGTAGGGAAGTCATTCTTTAAGAGAAAAAGACAATTAGAAATGTACAAAAGGAGATCTCATTTTCTTTTAAACTAGTATTATGCAGGTAGGAGGAAAATAGGAGAATGTTAGTGCTGCTAATCTCTGATCAGTATAATATCTTATGAATTGTGCTGGGTATAGAGTGAGATTCAGAATGGAAGAATTAAGAGTACATAGATGAATAATTTCAGTAAATATTTCCTAGAAAAAAATAGAATAATGTGAAATACAGAAAAACATTATTTTACATTGTAAAATGTCAGTCGTATATTCATAGTACATTGCAGAGAAAAGTTTATATTCTGCATAAAACAATACTTTTATATTTGAAAATCCTGTAACAGTTAAAATGTGAGAAATTACTTTTACAGTAAGGAATTTAGGGATTTCATTTTTGTTTTTGTCTATTTTTCTGTTATGCATTTTAGATGCCCAAGAAATGGAGGATGTGATTAGCACCTGTCAGGAAAGTCACAATAAATATCTCTCTGAAGTAGCAGTCATGAAAAGTATCACAGGGGAGGAAAATGTGAGACCTATAAGAAGTTTTCATTTGAGCTCAAAACAGAAAATTGAACTGATTAAGAATAATGAGAACTCCTTAGGCATGAGGACAGAAAATGTCACTGGGTGTCAGAACATGAGTGTTTGCAGTGAACCTGGTAAGATGTGTGCTGTATATAGTCCTCATCTGTCTTCTGTAGTTGAAGAATATAAACAATGTAAAAGGTCTTTCACTGAGAAGACGCACCCTATTGTCCCTCAGAGAACACACACAGGAAAGAAAGCATATGAAAGTAAAATGTGTGGAAAGATTTTCACCAGTAAGGCATACCTTAATGTCCACCAGAGACGACACACAAATGCGAAACCTTTTGAATGTAACATGTGTGAAATGTCTTTTACCTCGAAGTCAAACCTTACTCTTCATCAGAGAATACACACAGGAAAGAAACCTTATGAATGTCACATTTGTGGAAAGTCTTTCACCTGCAAGGAAAATCTTACTGATCACCAGAGAACACACACAGGAGAGAAACCTTATGAACGTAACATGTGTGGAATTCTTTCACCAAGAAGTCAACTCTCACTGTCCACCATAGAACACACACAGGAAGGAAACCTTATGAATGTAACGTGTGTGGAAAGTCTTTCACCCAGAAGCTACACTTAACTGTCCACCAGAGAATGCACACAGGAGAGAAACCTTATGAATGTAACATGTGTGGAAAGTTTTTCACCACGAAGTCAAACCTTACTGTCCACCAGAGAACACACACAGGAAAGAAACCTTGTGAGTGTAAAATGTGTGGAAAGTCTTTCATCCAGAATTCACAACTTACTCTCCACCAGAGAAGACACACAGGAAAGAAACCTTATGAATGTAATATGTGTGGAGAAACCTTTTGAATGTAACATGTGTGAAATGTCTTTTATCTGGAAGTCAAACCTTACTGTCCACCAGAGAACACACACAGGAGAGAAACCTTAAGAATGTAACATGTGTGGAAAGTCTTTCACCAAGAAGTCATATCTTACTGTCCATCAGAAAACACACAGGAAAGAAACCTTATGAATGTCATATGTGTGGAAAGTATTTCAGACAAGAGCTACATGTTACTGTCCACCAGAGAGCACACACAGGAGAGAAATTTTATGAATGTAAGCTATGTGGAAAGTCTTTCACCCAGAACATACACCTTTCTGTCCATCAGAAAAAAACCCACCAGAGAGAAATTTTATGTATGTAGCAGGCATGGAAATTGTTTCACCTGGAAGGCACAACTTAACATCCATCACAGAACACAAGGAGAGAAACCTTATGAACGCAACCAGTATGGAAAGACCTGGAGTTCACAGCTTAACACACATAAGTTGATTCACACAAATGAAATAACACTTAAGATTGTACCAAATGGGGAAAGTCTTTGATCTGTAAGAAAATTAAAATTGCAATACAGAGCCAATACAAGATAGAGACCTTATGATATAGCAGATGTGGATTCCTCCAACTACAAGACACAGCTCAGGGTTCATCGTAGAACACACAAAACACACAGACACACACACACACACACACACACACACACACGCACACACACTCAAAGAGGAGAGAAATCCTATGTAGGAAAAATAAATGGAAAGGTTTTCAAGAAAAAGTCCTAACTCAGTTAGCATCAGAGAACAGACACAGGCGAGAAAATAAAAATGTAACAATTGTGGAAAATTCTTTACCAAGTAGTCATGGATCCAAGTCATAGGACACACACAGTTGAGTAATTTTAAAAATATTACAAATGTGGAAATCCTTTGATCAGAAAGGAATACCTCATGTTCATCAGAGAACTGACTCACATTGGAGAAAAGGAAGTAGTGTATAGAACATATATGAAATGACTTTCAATCAGAAGTGAGTCCTCAGCGTATGTGAGAGCATAGACAGGAAAGAAATTATGAGTATAGAAAACATTTTGCCAGAAGTCCCATCTGTACAGGTATCAGAGACCTGGACACATGAAAGAATCTCTGTAAATATAAACATGAGAGGAAGTCTTTAAACCAGAAGCCAACCTTCAGCAAGTATTAGAACATTCACCCAGGAAAGAAGCCCAACCTAGGAAAATCTTTGTCAGAAAACCTCTGTAAATTATACAGAGAAATCCTTCATGGCAGAGGTAAGCTAGGTGTGATGGGAAACGATTCTTCACTCTTCAGCTTTCTTTGAGCCAACATTTCTCATCCTCTCATCGTGTTGAGTAGGGATGGTGTTATTCAATATTATCCAAAGCATGTGGAAACAACCAGTCTAGACAAGTAATTCAGAGATTGAAATTATTAACTTATGTCTTTTATACTAAGGAATGCTGTGTCAGGGTAATTTGATAAATTCTTCTTAGCAATATGAGTTCTGGGCCTTTGGGACTGGATTCAGATCATCTGCAACATGGTTAGGGGAACAATAGATGAGTGAAGACTGTTATGACAGGAGGCAAGAACATGAGAACACCTTTTTTTCTATTGCTTCCTTAAGTCCCCCTCGGTATGTGTGATCCATGCATTACAGTACAAATGACTTACTTTTTCCAGTTCAGTTTTTGAATGGAAGATATTAGTCTTTATTGCAGTACATACATAGTAGTAAAGTCTTTCTCAGAGGGGTAACAATGCTCGATAGGAAATGCATTAATGACCTAATTCATATAATAGTATAACCAATTTATACTGTATCTTTACAATAAAAGATATATTCTAAAAAATATGGTGGATTAATAAAGACAAGAGTCTCAGGATTTTGCCTTGGGGGAGAATCTCAAAATGTCTTCAGTGCTTGCTCTTTTCTTTAATTAATCACTGGTGATGAACAACTTGTGATTGATTAAATCAACACATTTAGTTGTTCTGCTGAGTGAGCTATAATAAAAGACCAGAGTGAACAATGTGTCGTACCTGTGTTATTTCATAGAGGGCCAATGTTGATATGACATTAGGGGAAATAATCAAGCACACAAAGATATTGATTAATCTCTCACAAAAATTGAAATTAACAAAGAAAATACTATGTGCCACTTGAGCTACAGCATCACTTCTAGGCCATGAGAGGAAGGAAAAAAGGAAGGAGGGAAGTGAGAAAGGGAAAGAGGAAGGGAAGGAATGAGGAAGAAGGAAGAAATAAACTTTTCAAAAGAAGAATGTTTAATTTTTGGTGAATGTGAGAATTATTCTTTCAGATGTGGGGCTCAAAAAATGGCTTTTACAAAAAGCAAATTCTTGAACTGTTTACAAAATGATATAGATGATGTAACATTTTATAAATAGATTTAATAATTCAGTAATATTAAGTAAGGAGGTCAGGTTTGGCTGGTGCCCTATTGGGCACATGGTGGATGGTGGGGTCTGGCATCTTGTCTTCATGCAGGGGGAAGGAAACACCCCATCCATCACTTACCTCCCAACTGATCGGTGAGGCTGGTTCCCTGGAAGCAGGGGTGAGCATTTGGCTGATATGTTACTCAATGTGTTAGTCCAGTGCCTGGAACTGGAATTTCCTGTAGACCTGCCTCCTGCCAAGGCCCTTTTTAGGCTAGACCAGCAGTGGCACTAGATGCCATGGTACATGTCTCTGTGATCATGTCCTGTGTCCTCTCTCCTAGCTTGTCTCTGGTCATTATAGTGTGTCAATTCAGCACTCTCTTCGTGCTGATTGGTTTCTTAGTGTTGTTTATATTCTTTTTATTCCTTTCTGTCCTGTTTCCAAGCTTTCTAAGTGTATTTGTGGACTGCAAGTCTTTGTTACAACAGGCTGCTTGCAGACCGCTAGCTGTGTAATAAAGACTCCAATATTCCATCTTCCAAAATGTGGCTTCCAACAAATATACTGTCCCTGAATTTTGTCCCTGAATTCAAACTGAGGACCAATAATATTATCTGTGCAAACAATGCATTCTTCCAAATATTTAGTGGAAGAATTTGGATGTGGTTTACAGAATGATAGGTAAGCAGTCCTTTACTGAGATTGCAAAAGGACCTTTGCATATGTCTACATGATGTTATGAATTTTATATCCTATTCTGTGGAAACCATGAGTCCTGCTTGGATCAAGTAGTTAAGATCTCCTGTCTAACAGGGCACTGGTGCTTCACAATGGAATTCTTAGTTGCTCAAGAATATAAGGTTGAAAATCACAATTGAAAGGCCAACTAGGTAGGAAATGCTCTGAGACTGTTTTCACCAAATTTCCCACAAGTAGGGCTGTGAATCATGTTGATAGACTGTCATCACTTTTGTTCCTTTATTACAAAATCTCAGGGACAGTACCCAGGCCCTGAGTAGAAAGAACTTCAAGGCCGGGGAAGATATTTTTAAAAATGGGTTCTTTGGCCTTTGTGCAGGAAAGTTTCCACTCCTATAGAAATCTAAAATACTCCATAGGGTATAGTCATTGTCCGTCAATTGAAGTTGATATTGAAATGTCTTAAAGCCTGGGTAATGATAAATTGTCAAATAGTTTGGTATCTTTTGTCATGTGAATGGACATGCATATACCTTTATGTTTCTGACTAGTTCATAGTTCCATGCAGAGGTTCAAGTTACTATGTAGGACAATGTGGTCCACATCTATTCCAAGAGAGATCTCAACATATAAAATGTGGCCAAATATTTCAATATACTTCAAAAACTATCGTAAGAAAAGGAGTCAATAGTGATCATTTAAGATCCGAGAATACCAATATATTTAAACCAGAAAACAATGGTCTTCTACGGTGTGCACACAGATGTAGGAGAAATATTCTTTTCACTATGTTCTGTCTAGATGTGTAGAAGCACTTTTGCTGTTCTTCCCTTATGGATTGCACTGTATTTAAAGGCCACTCCCAGGAGTAAATGACAGGATGTTTAGTTTCAGCTCATTCTAAAAGCTCCTATGTCCTAGGAAGAAAAGTGGTGAACCATGACTTGGGTACATATCCACCTTAGACCTAATCACTAAGATTGGGTTAAGTTATATAATTTTTCAGAATGTCAACGGTCCTACCACAAGGTTCATCCTGTAGCAATATCAAAAGTTAGGCTTTAGAAGAGTTCTTCCTTTGTTCAAAGATTTCAACTCTAAATTAGATTATTTTCAATAGCCATTCATTGAATGTTACTGGATAAAGTATACAAACATAGTCACATCTATGTCACAGAACATTGTGATATCATCAGCAGGAGCAGTTCAAATGACCCAAAGTCATGACCCTGAAGAGTCTGCTCTCCAGAGATCTAAGTATTTAACCAAAGCCCTCCAGTTCCCAAGCAATCTTGATCCCAATCAGAGAGCAGGACTTTAGGTGAATCCTTGTTTCTTCCTGAGGTTAACCTGGAATGATGCACTTCAGAGTGACTAGAAGGGACAGAACCTGGGATACTGAGCACAGTGGGTACTGAACAAGGCTATCATAGGTTTATCACTAGAACCTCAGGGACTACCCAAGGCCTCCTTCCATTACCTTGAGCACTTATATTTTTATTGTTGTCCACCTCTAGGTCATTTTTCCTCCCATAATTAGCATAGTAGTAAGTATAGATTTTTCCTGCTCCTTTGAGAAACATCATACCCTAACCTCTCTTTTCTGTTTCCTCAATGAATTCTGAGGTTCTCTTAATTTTTTTTGTTCAGGTTTCTGGATCAGAAACATCCTTGTATGAAGTCCCTGTGATAGAGTTGTCAGTACTTTGAGAAAATCACTACCTAGGGCATCCACAGCTAACCATCTTTTTTTCACTTGTCCATGGGTCTGAGCAAAACCAAGCCAGATCTTTATATGTGCATTCTAACTTAGTTTGTTACCAATAGTTTGATGTGGAGACTTCATCAGGTGTGTTGGAAGTTGACTGGGCTCATAGTCTAGGCCAGAACTCAAAATGGA